AGTAAACTTTGAAATGTAAAAGGAGTTTGTGCTATAACCAATCTCCATGACAGAGATTTTAGAGAAAGACATGGAAGGAGAGAGGCGAATCTATGACACTGAGGATAGAGAGACATGGTGTGGCAGCAACGACCATGACACCAGTGCCAAATGGCAGGAACCAGGAGACTGCACCAGATGATGGTGCTGGGGCTTGCTGACCCACAGAGCTACGAGTTTTAACATTTGTCCAAACAGGAGCCAGCAGCAGCTACTGAAAGAAGCTATCCTAGAGAAAACAAACAAGATGGCAGATCGGGTAGAAAAGCAGTGAAGAGTTCTGTCAGCAACAACACAAAACACCGGGCCAAGTGGGGTCACGGAATGGTGCCAAAACTCTAAACCACATATAAAGGAATAGTCAGAAGGTTGGAAGGCATACAGGCAGAAGCAAGAAATCCATTGCTTTATAATTTAAGTTGCTCAGCTGCTCCCGGAGCTGCAATCTTGGGCAAGACCAAGCAGGGGAAGGATCAAAGCAGCCACAGACGCCTGACAGAACTGCAGAGATAAAGGTGTGGACATTCTTTTTTTTTTTTTTGGTATCTGTTCATTGGTCTCTCACTGTCAGTGTACCTCCATTCTGGTAACTAGAGGGGGTACCTGAGTGAGTGGACACCCCACCTCCACCCCTATCCCTGGAGGGTTCTACTATGTGCACAAATCTCCTCTAAATCTAAAGTGACAATTTCCTCCTAAAACCAAACGGCCAAAAAAAAAAAACGAGAAAAAAAAAACAACCAAACAGCCACAGCTGGCCCTGAGCTGTTTATCACTAGGAAAAAGGCCTGAATGGGGATTGTGGAGTGGGACTGGCAGACTAAAAAGGAAACAGGCCGAAAATTAAATCCTGAGTTACTTCACAATGACCAACAGTGACATCTTGAAATTTCTCAGGAAGAAGAGTAAAAAGCGAAGCCCATCTCCTGATCACATCTACCTGTAGGCTATCAGAAAGCATAAAGAAATACAAAAATACACACCCATCTAAGTATTAAAGGCCACAGATAACTCCTGAATATGCCCAAAAAACGGAAGCAGATGACCATATCTGCCCATGTCCAGAAACGGGCTAAAGAGATAAATTGGAAAATGGGCAGGCTTTGGAAATGCCTGAGAAGGAATTAAGAAAAATTATTATATAATGTATCAAAACACTATACAATGGAGTTGAGAAAAATAAGGAAGAAGTCAGGAAAGCACTACAGGAACAATCAAATAAAATAGATAGAACATTGGAAACAACTCAAAACCTACAGAAAGAGGTCCAAACGATTAATAATAGAATAATAGAAATGGACAATACACTGAAAGGGCAAAGGAGTAGGACTGAAGAAATAGAAGCCAAAACTAGTGAGCTAGAAGAGAAATCTCTTAACACTACTAAGATAGAAGAGTAAACACAAAAAGGATTAAAAAAATCTGAAAAGGCCTAACATTAATAATGTTGGACAACATGAAGAGGAATAATTTAAGAATTATTGGCATTCCAGAACAGGAAGGATCACACAAGTCCACAGAGGAGATAGTTGAAGAGCTTCTGGAAGAAAAATGCTCTAACATCCTGAAAAACAAAAAGATAAGTATTCAAGAAACTCAACAAACTCCAGGAAGGATAGACCCTAAAAGACAATCACCAAGACATATAATAATCAAACTCTCCAAAATGAAAGATAAGGACAGAACCCTGAAAGCAACTAGGGAAAAGAGAAGTGTAACATACAAAGGCAAGCAAATCAGATTAAGCTCAGATCTTTCAACACAAACCATGCAGGAAAGAAGGCAATTGGGAGACATATATATAACTCTGAAAGAAAAAAACTGTCAACCAAGAATCCTTTACCCAGCAAAACTGTCAATCAAATACGATAGCATAATCAAAACATTCCAGGATAAACAGAAGCTAAGGGATTTTGCCAAAGCCAATCCTGCTATGAAAAACATCCTAAAGGAAGTTCTGTGGACTGAGAACCAACAAGAACAGACAACAACTAGAAAACTGAGTTCAGCATCATCCTGAATTCAATCGACAAATGGAAGAGTCAAGAACAGAATAAAATTATAAGAACAGAGGATCTGGGAGTAAGTCTATGATCAAAACAATTACAATATGAAAAAAGGTAAACACAGAGGAACAGAGATCCAAGTGGTGGGAAAGTCAGGTAGATTTACAGGATAAAATAGACTGTCTTAAATGGAGGGAAGAATTAATGGAATATAAGGTAACCACACAATGGGGTTGGAGTGGGGGGTTTAGTTCAGGTATTGGGGAGGGCAATACAAGAAGGGGGAGGAGGTGGAAGAACAAGATACCTAGAGAAACACTGAGACAGGTTTGCATGTCCTAAGTGGGACAGAGGTAAATAGCGATGTATGCTCAACCTTGGAACAACAGAGCTCTGGGATACAGGGATATAGGTATAGTTTGAAGAGGGGAAATAATACTAAAATCCTTGACTGTCTTATGAATTTTAGTTTTCCTTGCCTACTACTATTGTAAAATGGACACTTGAGTGGGATAGAAAGAGATGTTGGGAAACATGATTAGAGAAAACTTGTAAGCCCGTCTTCAGCCTATAACTGACTGGAATACCTAAAGGGGGTTCTAGAAATTGCCCATTGAAATAGGCCTCTTGCAAAGCCTTTGCAGAGTATAGGACCTTATGTGGAATCCTGAACCCCATCCAGAACCTTATGAGGTGGGACATCCCTACTAGCAAGGATAAGCAGACCAGTGTGGAACAGCTAGAGTTATAGAAGATACATCTTCAAAGAAAGATCATCAGGAAAAACCCGAAACAAAAATGGCAGCATGACTGGCTACTATAAGAATCAGCAAGCTGTTCGCCAGGAAGACACTAAAGCAAGCAATCAAGTTCCTTCAGGACAAACTCCCCTCTAAGACTGAAACTCAAAGGGAACACACACAAACATGTAAGATTACTGGTGACCACATTGGTCTACTGGTGAGTGGAAGAGGGGGAAAGGCAGCAATGAAGAAATAGGCTGAGTTCAACCACAGTCCATTGACTCCCGTTGACCTGGAGATGAGAGAGAGAAGATGAAGGGCTGGTTGGTCCCAATTGTGTTGAGACCTGAGGACACTTGAGCCCATGGACAAGGACATAGCCACGGAGGGCTAGAGCTGAGAGTGAAGCATCCAGCTGATATGAAGGGAGGGGAGATGCACAAGAACACCCAAACTTTCAGACAGTGCCCTTTTGACCTAGCCTTGATGGCTCGATAATCAGAACTTGACTAGAGGAAGATTACCAAAAAAAAAAAAAATTTTTTTTTTTTTTTGGATAAAGGAAACAAGGGTAAATTGCTACAATTCGATGAACCTACCTATACTCAGAGAGGTAGTTACTCTAAATACCAACAGAGACAGAAGGAGTCTTCACATCAAGTATCAATGCTATCCCCTCTGTACACAGGGTAGATACGGATGGGCAACTTAGACACTGGCTACCTAAAATGAGGGGGCAATAAAGGCACAAAGTAACTGGCTTACGAGGTTTCAAGAGGGAATTTAGTTTAAGAGTATGGGGTGGAAGAAAGAGTCCCCACTGAATAGATTTCATCTTGTCTAGATGGGTCTGGTGAAAAGATATGGTGATAAGATTCGTATGATTCAATAGTGAATAACTGTTATCATGACTAATTGCGACTGTCACAATGATAAAAGTAGAAGTTTTGTAACAAAAACAGGGGAGTGGTTAATCTTGCAGTCCAGAAACAGAGGACCCTAGGACCTTCAAGCAGAATGTAGGACCTTATCCAGAGAAGCAGTGATGCCAGAGACCGAGGCAGAGATGGGGTCATGAAGAGGGGGAGCAGCTAAGGATACTAGATTTATGGGAAGAGAGGGACTAAGAAGAGCTGGTGGCCAGGAGGCAAACTTGCAGAATGTGCACTTTGGTTTTTTTGTTGTTTTTGTTTTTGTTTTGTTTTGTTTTTAAATGCTAAAGTGGATAGAGAGAAATACTACTGTTAACTGATGGTACATGGAGGGGATTATAATCATTGTAATGAAACAAGGTATATGATTTGTTGAATGTAAAACGGATGATCTGCCCTGTAAACTTTCACTCAATCCACAATAAAAACCTTAAAAAAGAAGCTATCCTAATGAAAGAACTGTATCCTGAACTGTTCCTGGTACTTCTGCGTTGACAATGAACCCAAGGTGCAATCTCTGACTTCCCTAATAAACTTCATAATTCTAAGTACAGTTCCTGAGTTCTATAGCAAACTACCAGGCCAAAGGCAGTACAAAGAGGACTGCAGGGAGGAGGAGAAGCCAGCGGTGGAGACCAAGGAGTAGGTGGTACAGCAATTGGAAAACATTGCACATTTGAGACATCTTTAACCTCTATCTCAGAGGAACCAGCTTTGGGCTGTTTCTTTTAAAAAAAGAAATTATTCATGTACTAACAATAACAACAAAAAAGAATGGCATATAAAAATTGGTATTTTAATAAACAGGGAGCCCGTTTTAAATTTATGCAAAATCTGATTTTTTTTTTTAAACTTAAAAAACAGCACTTTTGAGGCCCCTACTTTCTTTGTTTGTTAGTTCTTGGGAGGCATTTGCAGCGGCATTCCCCTGTGAGGTATCTGAGGGCACGTGCAGTTCACACAGATGTGACAAACAGCAGGCATTTAATGTGTGTTTGGCAAAAGTAAAAGAGAAAAAAAGTCAGCCCGATGAGGATGATTTTGATGCCATCTAAGTTTTTGTCGTTGCATTTTCCCATCTACTACCATTGCAAAAGGTTTCACAACTAGCTCTCCAAGGGGCTTTGGGTATATGGAGAGTGGGGTGGGGTCTAAACCCAAGGCTTGATTGAGAGCTAATTGCACATAATTGTGTAAATACATACAGGCACTTGTCCCCATTGAGAAGAATTCAACAGCTCATAAAGTGCAGAACTCTGAACAAAGCAAGCAGGTCTTACCTTTTCGTCCTGGTATAACTTGTTGACACTCTCCAACTGGAAGTTGTGGCTTAACTGGATCTTGTCAAGCTGTTCCCGCTGCTTCTCCAGTTCTCCCTGAAACTCATTCTTTTTCAGCTCCACTGCCCCTCTCTCTGCGGCTGCCCTGCGGACCCTGCCTTCCAGCTCCATGATGCGTGTCTACAAGGAGGACACAGTATGAATGAGTGGCTGTTGGACTGTTGCTGCAGACCACCCTGTCTGAGTTCGTTACATCCTTTGTGGGCTCCAAAGGCTCGTGTTTACAAGTTAATTGTGCGGAATCTAGAACTGGTTTTTCTCGAGCAACGCTGGTACAGATATGGAGGCATTCACATCTATGTTGTTACCATGTGTCCACTTTCAGATGGACACACCACCACACAGCTCAGGGCTCAGTGGGCTTCAATGAAACAAGTTCATAAAAGTCCCAGAGGTACCATGGCACGAGGGGTACTCAGATATTCAGCTCCTTTCTCCGGCTAGTAAAGGACCTAACAGCTGTTTATCAGATACACGTACTTCTGAAAACTGATTCTGTTCTCCAACTCCAGACCCCACCCACATCTGTTCCAGCGGAAACTGAGACACAGGGTCTGTAACCCTGAGAAAGTAAGTACAAGACCAGGACAGAACATCAATAGAGCTCAGATGAGATGGCCCTTCCTGACTAAATCCAAGTCCATAGCACAAACAGTTCCTTTGAACGCCAGCTCCACCTGTACTAACCTCTCTGTACCTCAGTTTGCCCATCTGTGGAATGGGAAAAACAAAACCCCAACTTTGCAAGGCTTCTAAGCAAAAGAAGACAAGAGTGTACACTGCACTCAGCACTGTGCCTGGACCCTGATGGACAACAGTTAAGTAGAAATACTAATATCATCACCATCACTGAATGATGATGCGAAAGACAGATGCATTTAGAAATGTATCCCTTGGATCCATTACCTATCTACATGTCTAACTCTTTGATATCCAGTCTAGACTTGAGGATCAAGCAATGGACCGTGGTACTTAAGATGCTATCTTCCCAGAAGCAGCCTGGACAGCTTGACTGAATCTTGTTAACCCAGGGAAAGCAGAGGGGAAAGTTCTGGCAGCAATACTGAGAAGTCATAGTGGGTGGTAAAAAGGGTCCTCTCCCACACTGGAGCAGAGCTGAGGGAAAGGGCTGTACCGAGGGTGTGGAGAGTCACCTCAGGTGTGTGTGTTACACTCAAGCATGTGCACACCACCGAAAGCATTGAAATTTAGGTAGAAATAATAGCAAACCACTTGCACCTCATGTCCCAGCAATCTTAGAAACTGAAATACAAACAGATGACACCAAGCAAACAAGCATCCTAGGTAGGATCTTGGAACATAAAAGGAACATTAGGTACAAACTGATGAACAAATCGGTCATGGAAAAAGTACAGCCAGAATGTTCCTTAGAAGCCAGGATGGTGAGACTTTGTCTCATGTACTTTGGACATGTTGTCGGGAAGGAGCAGTCCCTGGAAAAGGACATCATGCTTGACGAAATGGAGGGTCAATGAAAAAGAGGAAGACCCCCCAACGAGATGGACTGACACAGTGGCAGCAGCAATGGGCTCAAATGTAACAACAACAGTGAGGATCATGCAGAACCGGGCAGTATTACGTTCTGTTGCACAAAGGGTTACTATGAGTCAGAACTTACTCGATGACAACTAAAAACAACAAGGTAAAAATGAACAAAATCTGAATATACTATGCACTTTAGTTAATAAGAACGTATAGTTCTGTGTAATAAATTCACCAGACTAATCTAAGTAAATAATAGGAGGAACGCTGAACTAACTTTGAGATTTTTCTGTAAATGTAAAAGTACTCTACAATAGAATGTCTGCATAAAAAAGTAAGAGCACCTGAAGATCCACGCTGCGGGAACTGGCAATCCAGTAGTTGAAGCCCAAGACGATGATGCAGGCCACCAGGGCGGCTAGCACGAGAGGTGGGGACTTCATGCTCCGACGCCCGTTTCCCAGGCCCATCATCTCCAGGGCAGGACAGAGAATCTGCCAGGTAAAAACAAACAAGTCTCAATACTACCATCACCCCCAATGCAGGCCACATCCATCATCACTATTGGTGCAAGAAAATGTGTCCAAAAAACACAAAGCTGTTGTCTTAGAAGAAGGAGAGGACAGACACAAACTAGGTGCTTTCAAGTAAACTACAAATCACAGCGATCAGAGCAGAGCTGTGTTCCACAGGGTTTTCAAAGGCTGATTATCTTTCAGAAGAAGATCAACCAGGGCTTTCTTCTGAGCTGCCTCTATAGGAACTCCAACCTCCAAACTTTCCCTAAGCAGCCAGGCATGTTAACTGTTTGAATAAGGTATAAATTATGTTGCTATGCTTCAACTCAAAACTTGTTCTGGTTGGATACAAGCAGCAGTGAAGAAGAACAAGTATGACTTTTCCAAATGGCTTTTGAGGAGGCAGATAAAAAATAGCACTGTATCAATGAGGACAACCACCACAAGAAATGTTCTGAGAAAAGAAACTGTTCATTCTGAGAGTTTGAAGAGGAGGCGGTGGCATTGGCAGCAGAGAAGCCACGCACCTGGGACTCACCTTCTAGATGCAAGGTCTAGAGACTGTTCCACATGACAGCCAACAGAGCTACCGCTACCTTTGACCCTATGGTATTTCCACAAATGTGTTCCTTGGAACACATCCTCTTGCTTACTAGTTATTTATCCACATGAGCCTACATGGGTGGATCAGCATTCTCACCTACACACAAGCATTTTTCTGTATAGCCCTGAGGATTCCATGCAGGCACTCTTATCTCCCAGGATGAAACAGGAAAACATTTTATAATGCAATTAGCAGTTGATATCAAGAAAAGCCCTGTGCATACACCAAGGAAGAGTGATGCTCAGAAACACTAAACTTCTAGGAGGTTCTACAGACCTGCTGAAAGATGTCTCTACCACACTGTCACATTGGATCCTGATCACAAGTCTGTTTTCTTTTGAACTATTTTAACTCTTTTTAAAACATGGAAGTCCTAGATACAACTGAGGGGAAATCCATACACAGCAAAGCATAGAGTCTCACTCTTTCTACTCCTGAGATAAAGTATAGGTGTGCACCATTTAACGTTAGTTTGGGCAACGTCCAACTGCATATATGTCCATAGTAACTGCATATAATGTCCATAGTAACTGCAAATATGTCCATGGCTCCATAGGTTTGTTTGTTTGTTTTTTTTCTTTTTAAGGGAAAACAGCTCTCCTTTAGTTTATTATCTCCCACTAAGACAAGCACTGGACTGCAAACCACAAGGTCAGCAGTTCAAGCCTTACTCCATGGGAGAAAGATGAGGCTTTCTGCTCCTGCAGAGATATACACTCTCGGAAACCCTATACAGGGTCACTATGAGTTGGAACCGACTGGATGGCACTTAATAACAACAACAATGGAGTTAAAGACCACGGGGGGGGGGGGGGGGGGGGGGGGGGGGGGGGGATACAGGCAGATGAGACAAAAGACATGGCTCTGGGCTCAGTCTCTCAGCTACTTCTGCTGCTCAGGTAGGTGGAACAAGAAGGGGAGGAGGAGGTGGGGCTGGTAGGTGTTTTTCCCGCCCTCCTCATTCAATTCCACTCTCTCCAGTCCCATCCCTGCCCTCTCAGCTGCCACTGACATGCCTCCAGTCACACCAGCAGAGTTGACAAGGACAACCGGAAGCAGTGTCCCATAAATAGTTGGTGTTTGCACAACATCCACATCACATAACACCTTGTTTTACAGACTGCATTGTAGATATCAAGCTCACCAGCTGCTCCCTGGAAACCCTATACAGGGTCGCTATGGGTCGGAACCGACTCGAGGACACTTCACAACAACAACAGCCTATAACACTATTTTCTAATGTCTGATCCCTTCTAATCCAGGAGAGCTGCTTTCCCTTAATAAAAACAAAACCTGAAGAGATCACGGATGTATATGCACTTGGACGTTGTCCCAGCTGACATTAAAGGATGCATACCTCTACTGTACCTCAGGAATAGAAAAGAGTGAGACTCTATACTTCTCTGTATGGTGTATGGATTTCCCAACTGTACTTAGTACTTTTATATTTTAAAAAGAATTAAAATCATTTTAAAAAAAGAAAACAGACTTGTCATCAGGATCTGACAAGGTGGCAGAGACATGCTTTTAGCAGATCTATAAAACTTTCTAGAAGTTTAGTGTTTCTGAGCATCGCTCTTCCTTGGTGTATGCACAGGGCTTTGCTGATATCAACCAATGATCACATTATAAAATGTTTTCCTGTTTCATCCTGGGAGATAGCAGTGGCTGGATGGAGTCCTCAGGGCTACACAGAGAAATGCCTGTGGTGTCTTATTTTAGGTGAGAATGCTGATCCATCCATGTAGGCTCATGTGGATAAATAACTAGTAAAAAGAAGATGTGCTACAAAGGTAATTTTTTAAAAAATAACAATGCTTCCAACTGATCACATTAGAAGGTGCAGGGTAGACTGGGAGAAAATATGGAACAAAACTAAAAAAATCACACACAAAAAAACAGGCTTACTCGTCAGATAGTGACAGGTGGAATGCCAAGATTAGGGCCCTTGGTTACCCTTCAGGTTTGGAACTAAACTCTCTTCTGTGGATCAACTTCAGTTAAGCAATAGATGGTATATGGGGGGGCAACACTAGTGAGGTATACACACCATAGAATGCTCAACCACTCAAGATTAAAGGATTCAAGGACAAAACTCAGAAGGGTTGAGAAAGAAAGAAAAAGGAATAAAAACAAGAAACACAGGGACAGCTGCGTCCGGCGCTTCCCTGACCAGGCATCTCAGGTAGGGCAGTCTCGGGGAAAAGGGGCAGAATCACACTAAGGAAACCTCTGTCTAGCAGACAGACAGCCTTTGAACAAACATAAGATCTTATATTTCAACATTCTGAACTCGTTTTTTTTAAAAGATCAAATTGCTGAGGAATTACAGGCATTCTGAGCTTTTGCCTGCCT